ATTAGTCAGACAGTGGAAGCAGGTGTTCTTAGAACTAATACTTAGAAGAACTTCACAATAGTGAATAGGGAAAGGGGAAGGTGGAGGGAAATCCAATCAGAATACTCTCTTTAAATCAAAGCAGAAATTTGCAAGACAGAATCTCATTGATTTTCCTAGGGCACCCAATTCAGTCTTCATTCATGTGAATTCCATGTTGTGGGACATTCACACATTCACTAGGTCTCTGGGGCTAGCTTAAACAACAGGCTGATTGGCTCTCTGCCTTTAGTTCTTCCTTAGGATTGTCTACCTCATGTTGATCAACAACAGCATAATGGTCTTACAACAAAACAAGAACACACAGCACACACAGAAGGATTAACATAGTTCAATGCTGCTCCAATCTAGTCAACTCTTCTCAAAGTTATCAGAGATCTCCCTTCCATTGAATCTGAGAGTTATTTCCCCTAACATGAACAAGGATACATTACCCCCAAACCTGGAATATATAGTCTCTCTCATATATATATATGTTTTTTCATTCTTCTAGGGTAGGACCAGCTTTAAGTTTCCCCATTAATATTTGGTAAATTTAGCACCATGAAAGGAGAGGTAATTAATGACACCTTGTGGCTACCTTTGCAATCACCTGTGTGCACAAGTTACCTTTTTTAATTACATTCTTTCATGGTGGGCCAATGCAATTCTGAGTGCTAGCAGGGTATAAGATGCTGTCCATTTAGTAACTAAATGAGCTATATTCGTGCCTTTCTTTTCTTCTGTTTAGACCTCTCTTTAGGTTGATAGCCTTGGATTATAATAACAGATTTCAAAGGCATACTAGATAGCCATTTTTACTTTGATCCCTGGGAAGTAAGAACTCTGATTTTTTTAATAGTATAAGAAAGCATATTTTGATTTTGTAATATACTTACCAACCATGATCAAGGGCCAGGCACATGCAATCAATTTAGTTTATTTGGCTGAAGTAATTTCAGTGAAAGTTATACTCTCAAGACCAGTGGCAAAAGCAGTCACACACACAAAAATATAAGCAGTCACAATGTATCCTCCGTGGTCATGAGAACTATTAGGAATAGGTGTAAATAGGAGCCATCAACAAAAGGGTTAAATCTAGATTAATAAGAAGTTTCTTGTAGGTCAGGTCTTGATGACAAAAGTTGATGAGTGAAATCTAAAGAACCCTATGACATGAATCATTCCCATCTAGCAAAAGCAGTAACGTGGTTGAGTTCAAGTCAGAAACCCTAAAGCTAGTAATGTTCAGGTAAGAAGAGAGTTCAGACTTATTTAATCAAGGATATGTATATATATTAACATATGCATATATGTTAATTTTATATGTATATTTTATCAGGATTCTCTAAGGTCTTATCAAAGTTACTCAGTATAAGATTGTCTTAATGAATTTTCAGTTATTTTTCTTGACTTATATTGAGTGCTCTTATTTTTAGGAACTCTTAAAGCTGTTATGTGGGAGTCTAATTTTTTTCTAATAATATGAGTTCCTATTTCTTATTTCTTTATAGCTCAAATCATTTAAAATATTTTCATATTAGAATGATGCCTTTTAAACTGATTATTACATAGAGTAGTTAATTTATATATGAGAGTCCAGATTGTTAAACTTCAGAAAGAATTCTAAATTCTTCCTCAGCAAATTCTTTAGAGAGCAAGAGGAGAGAGAGAGTCAAGAAGTTCATATAGAGTAAGTTGCTACTGAAGGGGACAGATGAGAAATGTAAGGTGCTAGAGCTTGAAATTTGTTATGTAGTTTAGTAAATCTCAAAATTATATCTTAGATTCTCAACCTTTAGGGGTGGAATGACCTTTCACAAGGGTCACCAATCATAACAGTAGCAAAATTACAGTAATGAAATGGCAATGAAAATAATTTTATGGTTGGGGGGGTCACCACAACATGAGGAACTGTATTAAGGGTCACGGCATTAGGAAGGTTGAGAACCAGTGTCTTAGAAGAAAACAGCTTTTGTGTCCTGCTGTCTTTTGAATGCCTCCTACTACCCATCTGAGGTAGTTAGTTTATTGTGCCAACCTGGCCGATAAACACACGTGGGGTTAATTGAAGGGCGGAGAGATAAATGGCACAGTGAGCCTCGCCTTTCTAGTTCTCTGGTCTCTTGCTTTCTGATGGTTAGACCAGGGTGCAGCTGTCTTAGCCAATTTCCTCCTTTAGCAGGCAAGGCTCACTTCCTGCAAGACATCCCTGAGGAGAAGCCACATGGATCTACCCCACTGCAGCCCTGAGTTCTGGAGCAGCTGTGTGGAGACCCCTGCCAGTGCTGAGATGCTTACACGTTCACTGACTAGGCTTGCCTCCTGCAGTCGGCATCATTGTGTCTGTTTTGTGAGATGGAGGAGGAAGGTGGACTGGTGTTGGATATATGGGTTAATGGGATAACATTGGACTTGTGGGCTTGCACAGCACTGGGTTGGGATGTTTTCTTGATGCGCACTTAACCTTTATATAAAACTCTCTCTTATACATGAGTTTCTGTGGATTTGTTTCTCTAAAGTACCCAGACTAACACACCATCAAAAAAAAAAAAAGACCCCAGTTTTGTTAGCGCTAGTGTGCCTGTTACCACTAGGCATGACCTGTTTTCTCTAGGAGAGTAAAAACAGTTGTCTTTTACACACACAGCAAATACTTTTTCTCCCAATGATAGCAAATGTGCACACATGTGATTTACTTTGAAACCTGCTCTGGAGGCTTTTATGTTAAAACTCAAAATCTGCTGTGGAAGTTCCAGGCATGCAAACAGACCTTACTGTGTTGCTTAGTGGAATGAAAGTAATTGGCTGCTAGCCTGAATAGTAAGTCCTGGACCAAGGAACCAAACTCTTAGGATGTTCAGATAGCAAACAGAAAGTGAAAGGAAACAGTAGGAAGCCAGTAATAAACCTGGAAACACTTCCACTTAAAGAGAGCCAAAGTTCAAGGGTGCTTACCTAGAAATAACCCGTAGATCTTGATCGGGGTTCATGATCCTTAGAAGGTCTTTGAAGGTTAGACATTTTTGGAATCCCACAACAGCTGCCATCAAAAAATGTTTATGAGCAACAGAATTTGTACCCATCTTGAAATGAAAAAAACAAACAGGTTTATTATGGTATTAAATAATTTTTGTATTGAGAAACATGGGGCCTAGTGTTTTCCCCAGAGTACCCAAGGCTTAAATATGAAAATATCAAGAGCAGTCAAAATATTCTAATCAAGCTGACATAATTTATGATTGGGTCTTTTGGTAAATATTTCAGAATTCCCAAGCTTTTGTGTAAGAAAGATATGCCCAGGAAAGTTCCTTGTGTAAGCATTTCCTGTAAGCTAGTTAATGATTACTAGATAGAGCTTACTAGAAACGATCTTATTCCTGAGGGCAAGTGGCCCCTCCAAGGGCTTGTCTGGACTTGAACTACAGATTTACTGCTTTCTGGTTAGCAAGCACTAGGAACATGCAATACAGGATTTAAAATGAAGCTTGAACTTATGTCAAGATCTCCCATGCAGTCAGGGCTTTGAGTGTAGATAGCCACCTTTCACAAGCACACGCTTCAGATTTGGACTCTCATCCAACTACGAAGAAGCAAGAGGCCAAGTGGTATACAGGCTCCAAGAGGTGATGCCACAGAGGGAGTGGTTCCTAAGAGTGGCAGAGTACTTATGCCAAGAGGAAAGCACGAGCAGAGAGGGGACAGGGTCAGCAGCAACAGTGACAACAGACCATTCTAAAGAGAAACTGCTGTGGCCATCTGGAGGGAGGCTGTGAGCATGCAAGTGTTATGTATAAAAACAAGTGTTAATAATTAAAAGCTGTTATTTATTGGGACTCCTAGGTTGTGCTAAATACTTTAAATGTATTATCTCTGAATCTTATGCAACCTTTGCAGGCACTGCATTTGATACCCTGCTGTTTCTACAGATATGTGAACAGACTTAGAATTCAGTAACTTAGGGTCACATAGCTACTGAGTCAAAGGCAAAGACTTGAATCCAGGTATTCATGCGGTAGCTACTCAAGGTTATGTCTCATATATGCAATCCAGGATATTTAAATTGGCTATGTGAAAGCCAATCATAAAGTATTTCAGGTCTTTAAATTTTTTTCTACATTCTTTGCAGCAAATGCATACCCACTAGTATTTTCCCACAATTGACTAAAATAGTCTTCTTTTAATTTCTGATAGCCTAGCAAGTAACTCATTTAAGTTCAAGAATTAAGGCCTTGGACCCCAGTGTCAGCTAGCTTGCAGAAGGACTACCAGTTGCTACAGAGCAGTTTCTGCCTTTTGGGGACCCCATGCTTTTCAGAATTGAACTGTGTTTCCACAGATATTTTGATAGCTGATTTTTTGAAGTACTTTGTTGGGTCTTTCTTTGCAGATAACTTTGGGGCACTTGAACTTCTAACCTTCATCTAACAACTGAGTTCATTAATTGTTTGCATTACCCAGGGACTTCTGAGTAAAATTAGTGCTTGTCATTTAACAATTTACTACACCAACTCCTAGCCAATACATACTTGATGAATGTTAAATGATTAAATGAATATATGAGTACATGAATGAGTAGCTTTCTTTTCACCCCCAATTTTTTATGATTATAACACATTGTAAAAATGTTATAGTCACTAAGAATAAATTTAAAATGCAATTTCATTGAGTGCTTGGGTGAGATTACAATGGTTTATAGAAGTTGCCATTGCCAGTGGTAAGTGAATTTGGTTACATAAGGTAAACTATATGATACATTTTGGGGACTTTTCACACTGCTATAAAATGTGATCTTGCTTGATAACATTGTATTAATTACTCACAAGCTCTTATACTTTGCTTGTTTTGCATCGTTAACCTCTTTGAACATGTCCCATTGTCCAGGGGTTGCTAGGGAAATAGTGGTGATGTGAGACTATGACACTGTTTTATGACACCTCTTTAAGTCTTACCTACTAATGGCTTTATTTTGTCTCTTCCAGTGAAAAAGGCAATTGAATTGAAGTCAAGAGGAGTCAAGATGCTGCCCAGCAAGGACAGTAGCCATAAAAACTCAGTCTGTAAGTCCCTTTTCTTTCTCTAAGAGGATTGATGCGTCGATTAAATGGGAAAGGAGAGGAGGGGATGAAGTACTTAAGAAGTAATTGTATGAACTTCTTTTACACTTCATCTCTTTCCATTTTTCTACCTTCAAACATATTTTCTAGAAGAGAGACTATCCACTAACGTCACATCATTGGAAAAGTGTTGTCTTGATTCCGTGTCCTAAATGTGTCTCAAATCCGCCTTTACCTCCCTGCCTTTATTACTCACTGTCTGAGCCTGCACCTTCAACACCTCTCACTGAATACATGTTACTCTGTCAGGTGACTTGCTCCTGAGTCTCTATTCACTTAAACACACTTAAGGAGCCAGGCTGATCTTTTCAAAATAAAAATCAGGTCTTGTCATTGTCCTATAAATTTTTTGCAATTTGTTTTTACCACTATATAAGAATGAAATATTCCTAGCATGAGGAACACATCATTCCCTAAAAGGAAGCAAGATTATGGAAAGTATTTCGGTGTTGGCTATATTCACATTTGTCCCAATACGACGTGAACACTGACTGAATGAATACATCCTTCTCCACTTTTGTTTCTAGTCTTCTCTGCTGGCACCCTCTGCATCCCCACGTAGAGCAACATTTCATTATGCTATGTATAATGTTTCTATCTGTGGATTATAGCTCACCTGATAACTAACACAGCTATTTCAAATGGACCATCTTTCCATTCCTTGAATATCCCATCGTACTCTTCTGCTGGAAGTACTTCTGTCCTTTCATTAATTACAGAAACCCTATGTATTCCTCCTAGCGTGTCACCATATGAAACAGTTTATGACTTCTCCAGGCAGTTAACTGTTCCCTGTTTTCATTCCCTAAATTGGACTCTTGCCTGTAGTACAACTTTTACTTTGTTACAGGTTAGCTGTATGCTCACCTGTTCTCATTGGGCATCATTAAAACACCTAGGTGGGCCCTTTTCTATGACATCATGCTCTTAAGGCTTTCAGCCAATTTATTCTCTTGCCTTTATGAACATTTCTTGTAAACTCTTCTGCTGTTTCTAGTTATTCATCTTGATGCTTGTTTCCTGGTGGGTTGTTTCTTGTGGGTGCCATCACATTGACTCCAACACACAGCGATCTGATGTACAAAACAAAACACTGCATGGCCCTGTGCCATGCTCACAATTGGTCCTAGACCTGAGCCCACTGATGCAGCCATTGTGTCAATCCATCTCCTTAAGGACCTTCCACTTTCTTGCCACCCCTCCACTTTACCAAGCATGATGTCCTTCCCCAGGGACTGGTCTTTCCTGACAGTATATCCAAAAATGTAAGACAAAGTCCTGTCATTCTTGCCTCTAAGGAACACTTTGGCCTTACTTCTGCTAATACAGAGCTGTCTGTCCATTTAGCAATCCATGGTATTTTCAATGTGCTTCTCCAGCACCACAATTCCAATGCATCTATTCTTCTGAGGTCTTCCTTATTCAATGTCCAACCTTCACATGCATATGATGCGATGGAGAATTCCATGGCTTGGGTCAGGCATACCTTAATCCTAAAAGTAACATCCTTGATTGCCAGTACTACAAAAACATCTTATGAAGCAGATTACATCATTTGATCTCTTGACTGCTGCTTCCTTGAACATTGATTGTGGGTCCTAGTAAGGCAAAGTACTTGTTAACTACAACCTTTTCTCCATTTCTAATGATGATACCTATTGGTCCAGTAATGAAAATTATAGTCTTCTTTACAGTGAGTTTGTAATCCATCCTGAAGGCTCAAATCCTGGATTTTCATAAGCAAGTGATTCAGTTTCTCCTCACTTACAGCAAGCAAGGTTGTGTCATCTGCATACCTCAGTTTGTTAATAAACCTTTCTTCAATTTTAATCCTGCACTTTTCTTCAGATAACTCATCTTCTCTGATGATTTGCTCAGCATGTAGATTGAAAAAATACAGTAATAGGATACAACACCTTTCCTGATTTTTAAACCGTGTTCCCTTGTTCTGGTCATACAACTGCTTGCTCATGCATGGACAAGTTCTGAATGAGCACAATGAAGTGACCTGGAATTACCATTCTTCTCAAGGTGATCCACAGTGTTTTTATGGCCCCCACACTCAAATGCCTTTGCATGTTCAGTGGACACAAGCAAATATCTTTCTGGTATTCTCTCATTTGAGCTGAGATCTATCTGACATCAGCAAGGAGGTCCTTTATTGCAAGTCCTCTTCTGAATCCAGCCTCCTTTTCTGGCAGTCCCCTGTCAGAACTACAGGGGACGTCAGTGTCACAGACACTTAAGCTGGGACATTCAGACTTCAGGCATTTGCCTGTCACCAGTTCCCTGGAGCTTTACATATATGTATTTTGTCAAGCAGTTAATAGGGAGCCCTGGTGGCTTAGTAGTTATTCATTGCTGCAACCTACATGGTCAGCAGTTCAAAACCACCAGCCTGTCTGAGAAAGACAGGGCTTTGTACTCCTGTAAACAGTTACAATCACAGAAACTCCGAGGCAGTTCTACTCTAGGGTCACTATGAGTCAGCCTCGACTTGATGACAGTGGGCTGTTGACAGAGATGGAGGCCAAGGATGAGATCTCCTTAGTTCAACCAATTTGCTTTTTTTCTTCTTTAAATATTGGCCTTCTGTACAAGGTATTTTTTGAGATAACATTTTCCATAAATAATAATAATTAAACACATGAATATTACATTAGAGATCATTTTTGCTTTGCCATTATTTTATAGTTTCATTTGACTATCTGCATTAATCAGTTCTATGCAATCACCCCATCTGTTTAACATGAAAAGACACCCTGTTTAACTTGAGGTAGACACAGAAACTTAAGCTGTGAAAATCAGACAAAATTGGAGCCCCTGAACTCCAATTGTAACTCAGATCTTAGGTCACACAGACATATAGTCACACATTGTTTCAATACACTTCATGTACTGTAATCTTAGCTAGGGTTTGTGGTAATAATTTTTTTAGAATAATTAATACCAGAATAGTCCCAAGACATGGAGATAAAAAATATCCCAAATGTCAAAATCTTCCAAGATGCTTCTCTACTCCATTGTTCTCCATACTATTGGATGTAGTCTGATACACCCTTGGGTGCCATGATACACTGCAGCATCCCACAGAAACTTGCAAAGCTTTTCAGAAATGTTTCCTGTTGCAGTGAGTGCTGTTCACTCCCCAATCCAAAGGTCAGGCAAAGGCCCGGAGCCAGAAGCCAAAATTGTCCAGAAGTCACTGCAGGGCTCTTGCTTCCACGAAAGCTTCAGAAGTAAATAGAGGGATAGCTTTACGGGAGATGTGTGGAAGACCTGTACAGTAGTACCAGCATTTACCCTCCAGTGAAGGAAATAGAGGACAGGGTCTTAAATCACATCCTCTAGTAAAGTAATTTTAAAGAGGCCCCCAAGAAAATAAAAAGTTAGAGTCTAAAGATGCCCCAAGCCAAGACAACAACTGTGACTTGGTTCTCATTATCTACTAAAATCATGTCTTAATCCCACCGGGCAAAGAAAAGGGAGCCTGCTATTTCCTCAAAGAGTTACAGTCTTGGTAACCCATCCAGGCAGTTCTACCCTGTCCTATAGGGTGGCTGTGGCTTGAAATGAACTTTTATGGCAGTGCGTTTTAAGTGACTCCTGTCCACTAGTATAGTATAGTAGAGTACACCCTCCAAAATGGGATTATAGCCATCAGCATGTAATCCAGAATTATATTCCATCACATAAGGAATTATGGGTAAAAAGGTCATATTAAATGACTACATCTCAGTGTTATTTAATATATTGGGCTCAAAAATAGGAAAGGTTGTACATATAAAGACTATTGAAATGACAAATGTTTGCTTACAAATAAATAAATGCATGTATATAAGCACTAAAAATGAAATGTACGAAAATGTGGGAGCAACAGAAAGAGAAAGTAAAAAAGGATTTAAAATGGAAAGTTTTAATATTTGCTAATGTTGGCTTTAATTTTAGGTTGTTCAGTCAAATGCAGATGGGTTATAATAATGTAACCACCAATGTTTTGATGATGTAAAATTCTGCAAAAATGATCAAAACTTTTGTGGTGATGTGGTTGCATCTAATCAATATCAGAGCAGTGATGAAATCAGTTACACATCAAATATATATATATATTCTGATTAGGGTGATATTTCCTCTGTCTTTATCTGAAAACAAATAGGCAAATATGTAATGATTCATTTGCCGTTAGTGCATTGTCTGTGCTTTTTCCAACAGCATTGAAATTTTTTTCCAGACATAAGAATTAATCATTAAAGAAAAATGAGGAAGAAAAAACATAGGCCTTACAACCAGCAATGTAATGAGAAAATATTTCTGTGAAGATGTGACTGAGAAAACTAATGTAACTTTTTATGCAGGAGAGGACATAGGCTTTGGACTTACAGAGAGATGGATCTAATTGTTGTAAAGTTATTAATCTGATTCAAGTTCAAGTTCCACAATTTGTAAAATTCAAATGGCAATAATTTGCCTAGTGTTGTCACACAAACAAATATCAGTAAATAGCCTACTCGGGTCCATGGCATAGATTAAATGCACAATGAATTATACTTGGCAAGAACTAACCATAGATAAGTAGAAAGAAGTAAGAATGTAAGTCAGCAAAGCACTTAAATCGTATGGGGATTTAACTTTACAGAAGAGGCAGTGTGATCCAGATCCGCGATGTGACTGTCTGAGACTCCAGTCCACAGTGGTAGACCGGGCCCAGACACAGCTCCCATAGTGCCTGGCTGTGAGCTTGCAAATCTTCAGCTATGATATGATGAGCCCCATATTCTTTGATATTTGTCATCAATTCCTTTCCATCTTTATGAGATTATGAGTAAAAGCCATATGCATTATTTATGCACATAGTGACATTTGCTGAACAGATGTCTGTAGGTTGTCTTATTATTTTGTCATATATACACTATACAGATAGCAAGATACCTTTATTTTCTATT